ATTACTGTAACTGTAGATTGTAGACTTCTGTGCATGACATACTTTATATATATATATATATATATATATATATATATATATATATATATATATATATTAAACCTAACATTATTTTATTTTATTATAACTGACCTTAGCAACAGCCCTTTAGCAATTATCTCCACAGGAAGTCTTAGCCGCTGTTCAATACAACTGGTAGTTCTAGTTGTCTGTTGTATGAGTAGGCTATGAATAGTAATAATCATGAATCACTTGGCCGAGTGAAGTGATTCCCTGTTGTAAGATATTTGACTCTTTGTTCGTGAAGAGCATTTAAATAGAGTCTGAATAGAGTTTGTGGTGAGTCACAGGGTCGGGCCGCTTACATTAGCTTTGATTCACTTCATCACAGACGAACCAGACTGAAAACGCTGCTGGCTGCTTAGCTGTTGGTGAAAACAAGTCTGACACACATGCACACACTTTCTCTGCACACAACAAACACACTGACTGGGCTGTTTCGCTCTCCGTTTCTCTCTCAAACTCTCTTTTGCTTGCTGGCTTCCCTACATAGTCAACTCAAAGTTGGCTTCATTCCAACAAACACTTTGCTACTTGTTATCACTCTTGCACACACTATCCTCTATGATACACACTAACTCTCTTTTCCTGTTTCCATCACTGTTTTTGTTTTTTGTATACGCAGACACACACATTTGCCCTCATCTGCACACAACTTTATAACTTCACCTTTCTGAACTGGTTGCTGACACATGCCTCTCCAACATGTTAAACCTTTATCCAATATAGCCTTGTCAATTCCATCATGCCTTAAATTGTGGGCTGATAGTGTCCCTCAACACCTCACTCAAAAATAAAGATTTTTCATCTGCATGCTAGCATTTTAAAGTATATTTCATTTATTGATTGCCACGTGTCCAAAACACAAGAAGAATTTGTATGTAGTTTGTTGTTCTCTTATGCACTTGTATGCTGTCAGGCATACTAGGGTTGTTTCTTTATGATGTGTGTGTTGTTTCTGCTGTTTGGGATCACATTAAAGAATAATCTCCTGTTGGTACAAAGTGTAGTTGTACCTAGCTGTATCTCCCATAAAATATATATGTTTAGGATGGTTCTGTATGAGCTGTATGAATGCCTTTTCAACCTGTGCATCTATCCACTGTGAAATAATCAGCACAAAATAAGATCTTGTTTTGGCATTATTTTAAATGTATTCATGTGTGTCTTGCCTGGCCCTCGTCTCCTGGCTTGTGCTCTGTCAATTTGTCACCCTTCCACTGCTGGCAAGATGGAAAATTATTTTCCACCGTGGGGAATGGGTGTGACCTCAACTATTTTAAGCTCTTAATCACCGGCAGGACAACAACAAGTTCCATGTCTATCTGCATGTTAAGTGTGTGTGAGTGTTTCCATTCGGTACATTTATCACACTGTGGTACTTTCTCACAAGCTCCACAGAGAGACAAAGCCCTGTGGTGAGCGTTTCTCTGCAGAAGTTTGATGGCAAAAGTGTGTGTGTGTGTGTGTGTGTGTGTGTGTGTGTGTGTGTGTGTGTGTGTGTGTGTGTGTGAAGACACAGCTGCAGTCATGCTTCAGACACAGGCCATGCTTGCCCTATTCATCACCAATCACAGTGATGGATAGATGGACAGATAGATTGATTCACTGAGTCCATGTTCATAGATTGGTAGCTGCTGTCAGGTGTAAAAAAAAAAAGTCAACCTTTCATGAAGGAGCAACCGTCTTTTATGATGTGTTCTTGAAATTCTCGTTTGGATCCTTAATGGGTTTCATCTGTCCTAAGGGCATGAAACTTGCTCAACCTCATCTGTCAACCTTTCAGACCTAATTTAAGAATAATGTTGCTTGGCCATTTAGAATTTTTCTGATAAGCCACCCAGATGGTAGGGGATTTTGAGAAATGGTAAATGGACTGTACTTGTATTGCGCCTTTCTAGTCTTCTGACCACTCAAAGCTTTACACTACATGTCACATTCACCCATTTATGCACATTCATATACTGATGACAGAAGCTACCATGCAAGGTGCCAACTCATCAGATGAAAGAAAATAATCATGCACGCACACTCACACACTGATGGCACAGCCATTGAGAGCAGTAATTACAGAAACAGTGATGTTGAACATAAAGGCTTTTTAAAAGCACTGAGGGCTCTGATAGGTTGGGAAAACCTGCATTTTGTGCGTTTTAAGGCTTATTATTAATTATGATTATCAGAATGAACTAGTAAATCTAATCTTTAACCAAATACATTTAATATGTGATTTAAAGGTTATCTTTACTATCATAATTATTTTAAGCCAGAAGTTGTAGAAATGGTATTTACTGCTATTCGACAGACATTAGCTATTAGAGACATCATAATGATTAGATTTTGCTATTTCCTTATTTATGTGGTATAACAAACTGACTTATTAAGACATTGCAGCATGTATTCTTCAAATACAGAAAACAGGTTATATCATTAGCTAGCCTAGACAAGTTTTTATTTTTCAAAAATTGCTATTATCTAGGCACAATGATGTTATGGTATAAGAGATGCCAGATTCTGGTCACTTCAACTCTGTTTTGACCATCTAAGATAACTTGTGCCTGTTTTGTTGAGCATGTTGTTCTGTTTGTTTATGCTTGTTCTGTGTATGTACATTGTAAGACCAGGGTTCAGATTACTCATATGATATACAAACACCTGGCCAATAAAAGTGATTCTGATTCTGAAGTAGCTACTGCACTTCGGCTAAGGAACGTGGGGCTTTACATAAAAATGAAAAATTCAAAAACTGAGTTACTAATGCATTATATTCATCATGTCTTCCCCTATCTTTAACACTACGACCTCCCTTTCTCCGAAAATCTCTGTCTATCCATCCAGTCATCTGTCTGCTCTTCAGTTTGAAATAACTCGTTTCTCCTCTGATGTTTTGGATTTGCATACATCCTGAGTCCTCTAGTTCCACAGCATACACACTTAAATACTAATAGATGACAGGCTTTGATATGTTCTGCCACATTCCCTCGTTTCTCAGCCTTTTTTTTTGGTTTCCTTAATGAGAGAGGGATTTCAGAGCAAGACCCTCTCACTAAGACAGTAATACAGATTTCAGAGAAAGAGGTTGAAGGGCTCATCTGTAGAGAGACTGAGATGCTTAAAATGCTGAACAAATGCAAATGAGATATGTGCAAGCAAGGTATGAGTGTCACTGATGCCAAGTGGAATTTTTGACTATGCAAACAGACATGAGGTTAGGTCTATGTGTTTAAACATGTACATTTGTGGTGTTTTATATGTGTAATCACAGTTACAGTAATGATTTATATGAAAAATGTCAGTTGCACTAGGTAAAGTAATTCATCTGTAGTCATACTGTAAAACATAGAGCACATAATGTACCACACTTGCTGCTTGTCTTACATTTGATATTGTAATTTCAAAGGTATAATTGTGAGCTAATTCTATTCTGTGCACATAACGCACCCACGCAAAATTGAAATCACAGTGACTGAGCTTTAATGCTTAGAGCTAAAATCAAATCATCCTTCCATCCTCCATGTTCCCGAGTCTGAATACCAGTGCATGCTCCAGGCAAAAGTATATATGAGTTCTCTGAGAGGCTTAAATACACACATAAACATGCACACATACACAACATGTTTTATAACTGGAAACAGTTTTAATATTGTAGCATCCAGGGTCAAGGGAACAGGGGATCATCCTCCTATGTTACTGTCATGTTACGCAGTAGGTATTGTCATTTTGGAAAGTTGGTCAACAGCATGCATAAAATAAACTTTTTAAGCCTTGTTCGCTGCCCAACGAGGGTGTTCAATCTAAAATATGGCTTTTTATTGGAACCTGACTGCACTGATAAAAGATGATAGAAGTTAGTCTAGAGAATATTGCACTGGGATGCAGTAGAAGGAGATGCTGAGTCACCAGACAAGAACACCAATATTTTTAAATCCTTGCTCTTGAAAGATCTTGGTTATGGCAAATAAATTATGCTAAGGTTCGGGAACTAAAACACTTGGTAAGGGTAGAAAAAGATTGTGGTTACAGTTAATAAAAAGGCAAACATAATTGCAGGTCTGCAATGGAAGGCAAACTGCGGTCTTTTGCATGAAAGTCCTAATTGCTACATGTCCATTCATTCCACCTCAACCTCCACGCCCTCACTTTCCACCTTGTTACATAAAGGGCATACTATGTCCTGCCTTCACAATGAATGTGGCCATTGGATGTAAATCGTGAGGTACAAAATCATCCAATATAGATGTATTTCCTTGTGATACTGGCGTGGGACAGCAGCAGTAGAGTCCATTTTGCTTCAGTTATGCAGAATGTTGCTGGTGAGTAATAAAGCTGTTGGTAAAGAGCACCACCTGGATGAAGGAACTACACTTGTTTCTTTGGCTTTAATTCCCAGAAGGGAGAGTTTGGAAGATACATCATGTGGTAGCTGGAAGGGAAGGGTTGATCCTCCCTGCATGCCTCTTTTGCACAAGCCTTGTGGTGAAATAAAATTGACCAGAGGAACACAGGACCTTTGAAGTGGTGCTAAGCAAAATACAGTCTCTAAAAACCAAGCCACTAAATTGCCCGGCCCTGGCAGCGCAACATTACTCAATGACATTTCCATATGATGTCTGCTCTTAAAAGGCAAATATATGTCCGGGCTGTTAGGAGCTTGAAGTGCAGATGTGGAAACCGCGATTTGAATACATATTTTTTTGTGCTGAGGTGAAACAAAGGAACTGAAAGTGAGAGCAAGTGTGTAATTGGGGTTGGTTTTGGTGAGGGGTTAGTGTCTAAAAAAAGTAAAAACATTGTGAAAATCATTCCAACACAATGATTCTTTAGTTTTCCATTTTAATTTCCTGTTTACCTCCTCTCCTCTTCCTGGTTTGCATGTCATTGTTATCTTTACACTCCTCTGTTTCAGCAACTCACTAACCAAGACTGTTTTTCTCTTTTAGGAGGAAGAGATGCCGGAGGTAGAGATAGACATAGATGACCTGTTGGAGGTCAACAGTGATGACGAGAGAGCCAGCAAACTGCAGGTATACCCCTGTGGCTGTGTGTGTGGCTGTCTTTACACCTACATATCTATTTTTAACAAACCCCGTTGTAATATACTGCACATGGATCAACGTATAGGTACCTACTTTCACAGTGTACATACTTCAGTCAGTAATTTCCATCAGCTCCAGACAACATCCCTGTATGTCTTGTTCCTTTCAGCTGTGGGTTATACCCTAAGAGTGTTCAGACACATCACTGTGTGTTATTCATAAGTTCAACTGCTGGGTCTTTTATGCAGTTTGTGTTTGTTCAACCCAAACAGCCAACAGATTGACTGTACAGACATTTGCTATAGCTAGCTAGCTTGCAATATACGCATGATTGTGTGTGGGTGTGGGGAGTGTGTTTGTGAGACAACTCAGCCTCTGACTGAACTCATAATTCACCAGGAACCACAGTCCTTTCTACCATTTATGAAGTAGATTCGTAAAGTCTCAGTTTGACGCAACTGTGCGGTATCTAAATTTTGCTTCCTGACCACACCTTGAGAGCTAGACACCATGTTTTCTAAATGTGCTAAAGGAAAAGCATCGCTTTGTAGACAAACTTGTCACATGACTGCTTTGAGAAACTGGCATCACTGCCTTTTCTGCTGTATGTTGGATTTCTCCTTGTATTTTTCATAGTGCCGGTGCATTCAAAGACACTGTTGTTGTTTGATTCTGGCAGCCTGATGCTTAGCAATGATGACTTACATAACCAACATTGTCTGCCAGTCAGTTTGACCCTAGCTGTACGGAAAATATCTTGAAGTGACATGTTGTTGTCATGTTGTATTTGGACGGTTATTCACACAAACAAAATCCATACACCAACCACTGACAAAACTGACCCGAGGACATCAAAGTGTACCTTCATTTTACATTTCATCTTAGCAAATAAAAAATGAAAAGTCCATGAGATGCCCACTCATTCCCCTTTTTTTGCCTTTTACACAGGAATCATTAACAGACTGCTACAAACCAACAGAGGTGAGTATGTTTAGTGTGTCCATTTTATTGGATAGCATCTAGCTATCCAATAAAATGCTCAATATCAATGACCTAGCAGCTTGTGTGTAGACGAACATTATTGATGTTCACATGCACTGTTCGATTTGCAGAGTATAGACCACTGCATGTTAAAGCATCATGTCCCAGATGAGTATGTTTAATGTATGGTGACACTCACACACATTTATTATCTATTTCCACAATAGAGACAAAGGTTAAAAGGACCATAAGCTAAAAACACACATGCACGTGCGCACACACACACACACACACACACACACACACACACACACACACACACACACACACACACACACACACACACACACACAAAAGACAGTGACACTGATGCTAAATTTGTTAAGTTAATAGATTTGACTAGGGTTAGTATATGTAGAGGTATGGCATTGGGTCAGCCTGTGACAGACACTACTAGATCACTGGAGTCCAAAGCTATGGAAGTGTCCACTTCGCACACACATACGCACTCTATGAGGGGCTGTCGCAGTGAAATAATTTCCCCTGCGGTTGTATGTTGGGGCTTAACAGCGCGGTATTATCGTATTTTTCAACAGTGAAATAATTTGGTGCCATATAGCATTGTGTCTGTGGATCTCACCTTACTGCACAGTAGTGATGTGCGATACCAATTCCTATACGATCCAATACCAAGTAATACCCAGGCTGTTATTGCCGATACCGATACCGATACTTTTACATATTTTATTTCTAGTTTAATGTGACCTCCCCCTCCCCTCCCATTTCTGTATTTATGAGGGAAATAAAGAGTAGGCTTTAGGCTTACCAATTCCAAATAATAGCTGCATAATGACAAGACATCAAACTACTGTCATATTTTTTAATTATAATAAAACTATCCTGCTCAGAACTGCCACTTCATTACATCATCATATTATTGTGACTTAATCTCAGATGTTTAGCAAAGTTTGCGGTGTATTTCACTGTCTTTGCACACACATCACACACAGCATCATTATTACCTTCACAGATACAGACAGACATGACTGCTTTTACAGTCAGTCATAGTAAGTATTCAATAGCGGGAAATGTAAAGGGCTGCAGCAGCTCACTCCAAAGAAGCTCAGTCACAGAGCCATAGCGCAAGTATGGCTATGACAGGCGGAAGGAGAAGTAGTTCCTATCAACCAGTATAATTAGACCATCCTGGTGACCGTAAGATACTTATGATAAAACACACAATCACTCCAAATGACTGTGTTTACGATCCTTTTATGTGAGTATCGGTCCAAGAGCAGGAAACGTTGGTATCATAAATATCGATACTTTAGTATTGACTCGCACATCACTACTGCACAGCAAGCCACTAACAGCAGCTTTATGGTCGGAGCAAGTTAGCTGCTTGGAGCTAGTCAACAACATTGCCAAGCAAACTCAGTCTTTTTCACTACGCTACGCTCACTACACATTACGCTCGTTATATTAGTGAGCTTCAAATGAGGCTTACCTTTCACAGTTTTTCTCGACTGTCCCTCAGGATTACAACATTAGTCCAACATCACCGAGCCTGCTAGCCACATTAGCCGCGCAATATGCTAACGCCAAGTTAGCTAGCCTTTAAAATAAACAGTAAAACAACACAAAACACGGCAACACTTACAGCTTCCAAGCTTCAATTAGGTCACATACAGCCCATGGCAATCCGTCCTTGAACCGTTACAGAGCTTGTTACGGTTGTGAAACTTTTGAAACACTAATTTATTAATTTAACACACCCTGAAGTGTAAGGTATGAATATTGCGGTTGTTGCGGTGCTTGTCATCCTCCGCGGAAGGCTTGACCAATAGCGCGGTATTTCAATTTTGTGGTTATTGCGACAGCCCCAGAATCTAAACCTTTGTGAATAGAGTAGCACAGATGCCATTTTGAACACAATCTCAAAAAGAAGGTATCACCTGGGGATTAACAGTAAAAAACAGAAGCAAAGGAGAGAAAAGGTGAATGCGGCAAAAGGTTGGGAGTGATGGAGGGAGGATGAAAGGAAGAATGAGAGCACTGTTAGAAAAGGGGACACTGTACAAAAGGTACAAAAAAACACGAGATGAAGTGAAAAAGTAAGCGATAGAAGACATTACAAAGAAATAGGAAGAGGATTATGCATAGGAAAATACAGCTAGATGGAGAAAGACAAGTAAGAGTATAGGAGAGAGAGAAGGAGGAGATAGAGGCATCAGTAATTAGGTCATGAGCAGCGTCACCCATAATGAGGGATTCTATTCCAGCATATTCTCAATCACAGTCACACTTTCGTGGACCTCCTATCTATACCTCTCACTTAAATCCGAGATGCAGGTTTTCTTTGTCATTTATTCATTTAGCAGATGCTATTATCCAAAGTTATATATGTCAGAGGTCGCACGCCTCTGGAGCAACTAGGGGTTAAGTGTCTTGCTTTGTTGGATATGTCACAGTGGGGAATTGAACCCTGGCCAAAGGCATGTGTCTTATCCACGGCGCCAACACCACCCCGAAGGGTAATACCGCCATAACTAGAGTTTGTTCCGCCATGTTTGTTTTCCATCCCTATAGTATGACTATAGTGACTAGTATGACGAATTTGTTCTTCGTGCATTCAGCACAAATCAAGACATTTTTGAGTGAGCTTTGCTCAGTATACTGAGCTCTCCCTAAAGGTGCGTTCCCACCGAAAGCGAATCCAGCGTTTTGGGTGGCTTGATTACATACATACTCAATGCAAAGACGCGAATTTGCGTGATGAGGCATTATCAGCGGTGAGACTGTCCAAACGTCACCGGCGGCTTCGGAGCGTTGTTTGGAGAGGACCAGGCGAGCGGTGTAATGACAATCCACTGGCCGACGGGGAGTTGCTAAAGAACGGGGAAGTGGACGGGGAGTAGCACTGACAGACATATGAATTCATATGTCTAACAAAACGGCATCATATTGTAGTTATTTCGGCATCAGTTTGATCCGTTTTTTGCAATTAAATCACAGCCAAAGGGTTAACTTTATGTTCATATAGCTGTAGTATCCGCGGGCTGTGTTTATTCGCTTAAAACGCCAAAAAAAAGTCCAGCGGCCAAACTCGCGCGAGTAAAGAGAGGCGAATATTAAATTCACTTTTGGTGTGAACGCAGCTTTAGGGTTCTCCCATTCAGTTACCCATGGCACAAATAAACTCAATCTAATTCATTGGGTGTCTATTACCATGAAAAGCAGACCGTCACATTTGTTAATGCTGCATTAGATGTCAATATAAGACCATAAAACATACTGCCACTATGTGTCAGATTTTGCGTATGTGTCAATAGTTTGACATTTTGGGAAATACATGTATTTTTTCTTGTTGAGAGTTAAACGAGAAGATCGATACCACTCTTGTGTCTGTATACTAAATTTGAAGTTAAAACTAGCAGCCGGTTAACTTAGCTTAGCACAAAGACTGGAAACCTAGGGAAATGGCTAGTCTGGTTTAGTCTGAAGGTATCAACATCTGCCTAGCAGAACCTCTAAAGCTCATTATATTTTGTTTGTTAACACAAGCTGTGGTTTTACGAGGTCTATCTTCTGTATACTACTAGAAGATGTAAATTAGTGAGCAAAAGAGGTGCTAGTTTGTTTTTTACACTGGACAGAGCCAGGCTACCAGTTTCCCCATGTTTCGAGTTTTATGCTAACTTTTATCCAGAGTCCTCATTGCGTGTCTAGGCAGAGCATCCAGGCCAGGCTGCACCTGAACACACACTGGGCACTTCTTCGTCACGTTCTCCATGGAACCTACTCCAGGTCATGTGGGTCACGTGTCCGCTCTGCCTAGTCCAGAGACACTCTGGCAACGAAGAGCGGCCCTGGAGAAGAAGTGACAACGTTGCTGGCTGTTTACAAACCAACCAGAAGAAAAACAGACACAACAAGAGTTACACATAATGACAATAAAGAATAATGACAGTAAAGACCAATATAATAAAGCCTTTATGCTTGACTCAAACTGTTAACTCATAGTACTCCTCGCATGTGTGTGTGTGTGTGTGTATGTGCATGTGTGCATGTGTCTGTCTAACTCTCTCTCTTCTCTTGTCTCCCTACAGGACTTTGTCCGTGAGTTGCTGGGCAGGATAAGGGGAATGAGAAAACTCAGCGCGCCAACTAAGAAGGGCCTATAATGGCTGTAATGTCAACCATCAACCACTACGTCATCTCAGCTCCACGTACTTAACCCACTCAACATGGACTGTCATCACAAAAAAAATAATGTATCTAAACATAACAGCATTAGTAACTATTCTGCAACCTGCAAACATGCACCACAAACTCCATGCATATAGCACTAGTCATTCATTTCACTATCACATAGAATAACAAGTGTATTATAATATCTGACTGTTGAGAGGTACTTAAGGAAGAGCCAACACTGTTCAATAGCATACAGCCACAATAAAATGTCCAGCCCTGGAACGTGCCAGAACTGCAACTGTGCTTTAACATGAATACCACCTAATTCCACATTTCAGAGCCATGTTACAAGCCCATGCTGTAATTCCAACAGCCATACTGACTAAAACACAAACAAATCTCAAAAAGGGAGGTGGTAAAAACACGTTTGTACCGCAGTAGGTGTGAAATTAGCTGTAGCACTATATAAACACAGTGCTTCATGATTTTGTCATTTTTTTACTGAGGTGTTTTGCTGTTAATTCTTTTTAAAAATGTACTGTATGTTGCCATTTATTGTTCATGTGATTGAAATGTGGTCTTCAACAGTTTTCGTCCTACTTTAAAGTCGACCTCCTTATCCTTACTCCGTCAGCACCTGCAAATATAAGGGAGCTCTGTAGTTTTATTTTAAGCACAAGGCGCTAATACATCAATTCTATGCTTTTGTGAGATTGAAACTCTAGGAAGATTGAAGGAACATTTTAGGAAACAAGGCTAAAATAGTGTGACGATTTTTGCTTTTTTACCCGCTGTTCTAGTACACTTTTCACCACAGCAAAGGCATGATGGGTGTTGCAGTTCTCCGTATGAGACTGTAAAACCTGTATGATTGGCAGCCTTTCACTTATTATGTTATGTGGTTTTGTTCATTGCTCTCCCTCATCAGAATACATATCAGTTGGTCTTTTAGGTTGAAGCACAAAGCCCAAACATTGTAGTTGTTTCTCACACTCTGGTTCACGTAACTCTGCTAACTTGCCTCTCTAATAGTGGTTGATGTTGCCTTTAAGAATTTTCAGGACCAGTTCACCTTTTTCCTCAGCAATGAACCTTAACTACTGACAACCTAGAGGCAAAAATGGTTGAGAAAGAGAACCTGAGGGCAACTTGAAACTTTGACACTTAAACCTGTCAGGTCCTGTAAGGGAAGGTGTGCCAAAACTGAGAGTATTACATCATAAATGTCATATGTCATAGAGGCAGTTAGTGCGACACAGCATGTCCACAGAGATTGTTTAAGTTTGTCTAACGTCTTTGGTTGGGCGCAGAACTTCAAGATATTGTTAAGATGACTTTTCCAGGTTGTAGAAAATATGTTGTAATTGCAAAACTCTGGGTTTAAGAGGTGGATTTAGTTATTTATTGTTGTTAATGATCTTCTGCGCACCACCACACTCAAAAACCTGTAAGCTCTGGTACAATCATGACTCTTGTTATGGGGTTGGGCCCAGTTTCACTTCCGAGCAGTCAATCGTGAACCAACCGGAATGGAGCAGACCTGAACCTGCCAAGTGATGTATACCCTCAGCTGCCAAAGACAAAAGCAGGGCAATGTTTGATTTTAACATAAAACTTGCAAAGCACCCGTCTTGCATGCTAACAGCAGAGAAAAAACACTGATAAAGAGTATAGATATTATGAACTTATAAGCAAAAAATACTTTTTTGACATAGCTGCCATGTCTGACTTTGTAGAACTTTTTGTGTTGAACCAACGCGGCTGTCACGTTGGAGAGAATCCAGGAAAATTTTAAAAAATGGTGCTGTTTTTGATGTTCTTCCCAGGTTTTGGTTGTATAGGGCGCATTTTAACTGTTGATTGATGCCAGAGAAATGTGCCTGCAAGAAATGTATGTCTTCATTGATGGGGTGCATACAGTCTAAAGTGGCATCCTCTTTGCATTTCTTTTTCTCAATCTGAACTGGGATGGATGGTCTATTTGTTTGAAAAAGATCACGCGTTTTCCGGATCAGTAAATTGGAAGGAAAAGTTGAAAAGGAAGCCATTACAGACAACAGAGATGCATCCAGGATTCATGCCGAGGTACTCCATAGGATTTTCTCTGTCAAGAAACAGTTCAGGGGCAATAGGCTGATATTTTATAATTTATGGGATTTCATGTGGAGAGTATTTTGAAAGTGTCCATACTAGAAAGCTTTATGTTTGCATGTGTTTTTAGAGTTGCATGTTGAGGGGAACATTTTGTTGGCCCAAAGGTTTTTATTTCACAAAGTAAGACACTTTTCCTTTTTATACCTTTTATTATTATTAAGACTAAAATATTCAGTTTTTCAGCTGCAGTTTTGTTTTTCTGTACATCCACAATAAGCGTTCTTGTTTTTAAAATGTAATGTGGCGTGTGGTTTGTTTTTGCTGATAATAAAAATGCAGAAGGACTCTGTACTATTTAAACAGATGTCTTCCCTGTGTATTGTTAATTTTTTTTATAGATAAAATGATGTGTGTGTTTGAGCTTTATTCAAACCAATCGTTTTACATTTTGGAAAATATGCTTATTTGCTTTATTACGGTAAGTTAGATGAGAAGAGCGATACCACTCTCATGTCTGTCAGGTATATATACAGCCAAATTAAAGCCAGCAGCTAGTTAGTTTAGCCTAGCATAAAAACTGGAACAGGGAAAACAGTTGACTCTGTCCAAACTATTAGCAACTCTAAATCTCACTAATTAACATCTTGTATCTTGTTTGTTTACAAAAATCTAATTGTAAAAAAGACAAGACAATGTTCCAGTCTTTTTGCTAAGCTAGGCTAACCGGCTTCTGGCTGTAGCCATATTAACAGGACACATGAGAGTTTTGATCATCCTAATTGTCGACAGGAAAGCGAATAACCATATATCCCAGCATTTCAAAATATTCCTGATGAGTGTTTGTGTCTTTATAGGTGCATTTGTATGGTTGAGTATAGGGCATTATTCAGATGTGTTTATTTGTGTGTGGTCCTTGGTATGAGCGTACTGTATGTGTTTATGCACAAGGGGCATATTGGAGCATCATGGCTGCAAATGTGTTCCTTTTCAGTGCCACACAATGTGGCAGTAGTTTAGTAGGACAGTCATGTGTGCTGCGTGATTCTGTAAAGAGCCCATCAGGGTATGACATTATTGCTCAATGTGCGCATGAGTAGCCTTTCTCTGCAGCATGTCTAGCCCCATAAGGACTAGCCTACTGGCCTACTGTACATTGTTGCTAGGTAGAAAGACAGATTGAAGTGTGTGAGGGCGCTAAGAAAGAATAACCACATGATCACTGATCTGTGAGGAAAGAAGTCAACCTCACTGCAAATCAAATAGGCCAGTTTACAGAGGAGGCAGACAGAGACAGACACACTTGGTAAACGTGCCACAGCTTTTTTTTTCCTGCAGAGAACGTGATAATGAATGGCTTCTGATTAACTGACACACATTCCCAAAAAGCCTTGTGGATTTCACTGCAGGAGACAGAATTGCACACATGCTGTAGCTGCTGCTGCGTGTTGGGAGGCAGAGAAAAGCCAAAGCGGTGCCAGCGCAGCCACTGTGCAGTGCAAGAAGGCTGCGTGTGCCTTTAAATTCCATGACCCACTTTTCACAGCTGGGCCTGGCTGGCAGGGAGCGCTCGTGCACGCTGCCTTGAATAATTGGGACTGCAAGGTGAATGTGAGGAGAATAGTTAAGGACGGGAGCTTCCCCCCGCCAGCCAGCGTTGCCTGGTTCAGTCAGCTGGCTGCACACCAGCGAATCTCACACCAGCACTGTCCTCGAGTACCTGTCGGTCATGGTGTTTCAGAACATTAAAGCTGAGGTGAATAGAGACAGGTGTTTGACAGAAGAACGAGAATTGTGTGGATGTGGCAAGAGTGAGGAAGTGCCATTTTTATGACCTGCTATCAGTTTATATTGTTGAAGCCACTGTGAATATCAAAGGAAAACAATAAGCATTACATCATATCTCCTAATGTGAAATAGCCCGGCAAACCCTACTGTAAATCTTATGTCTTCCCATCCCCCTCCTCATTTTGCCATTCTCTCTCTTGATCCTGTGTGTGCCTCTCCACCCCCTCTCCTACTTCACTATGATTTCCCCCCTCTCCTTTGTGGATGCAGTGATCCATCATGACAATACTTCAGAGACACAGATTGAGAATAGAAAAAGACAGACAGATAGCGTATATGAGTAAAGAGAGAGATGCAAAACCCCCTCCCCCCGCGTTGGTTCCCTTCAGCTGGGAGATAGATCCCATCTCGTCTCCACTGCTGTGGAACCCCAGTGCAGACAAATGCTGGGGCATCGTGTCACACAGTCTGCTCCTGCTCCTTCATTCACATGACAGACAATTCAGCCATACATCATCAGTTATTACCCAGACACAGAGAAAGTCTTGGTAATAAGTGATGGTGGTGGTGTTTTCTTTTGTCACCTCCATGACACAGAGCTGTATTAGCCCTGCATGCTAGACGACCTGCTGCATTGTGGGTAAAGAAGTCTCGCACTCTACCACTCCCTAACCTGCAAGTTTACTGAATACTTTATTCTACTTCAGCCTTAAGTACAACTAAATCCTTGGGAACAACGTCCTGTCTTAACTCTATAAATACTACATAACACACATGCACATGTTCCACTTAAACAATGTGTGTATGTGTGTGTGTGTGTGCATGTGTGTGGCAGAACCTACAGTGTATCTCGTGGGAAATCTATTTTATTTCACTACACTGAGCCCATTAAATTTTTCAGCGCTCCAGACATAAATGTTACAACTCTTGCTCTTCAAGCATAAAAAGATGTAGGCGTGTACAAAATCACACAGACTTTGTTGCCAACATTGACCATTTCTACTGTTACCACTACTACTACTACAGCTGGAGGCGAACACACACAGCAGATTTGACTGAATAAGTGGGAATTGCTTTAGTGCAGCAGTTTTTTCTTACACTGAACAAAATTATAAACGCAACACTTTTGCTTTTGCCCCCATTCATCATGAGCCGAACTCAAAGACCTAAGACTTTCTCTATGTACACTAAAGGCCTATTTCTTTCAAATATTGTTCACAAATCTGTCAAAATCTGTGTTAGTGAGCACTTCTCATTTGCTGAGATAATCCATCCAACTCACAGGTGTGGCATATCAATATCAGACAGCATGGGTATTGCACAGGTGTGCCTTAGGCTGGCCACAATAAAAGGCCACTCGAAAATGTGCAGTTCCATCACACAGCACAATACCACAGATGTCGCAAGTTTTGAGGGAGAGTGCAATTGGCATGCTGACTGCAGCAATGTCCTCCAGAGCTGTTGCCTGTGAATTGAATGTTCATTTCTCTACCATAACCTGTCTCTCCAAAGGCGTTTCAGAGAATTTGGCAGTACATCCAACCGCCCTCACAACCGCAGACCACGTGTAACCACACCAGCCCAGGACCTCCACATCCAGCATCTTCACCTCCAAGATCGTCTGAGACCAGCGACCCGGACAGCTACTGCAACAATCCGTTTGCATAACCAAAATATCTGTACAAACTGTCAGGAACCGTCTAACGTCTAAAGTGTTTATTATTATTATTAGTAGTAGTAGTATTAGTAGTAGTAGTAGTAGTAGTATCATAACCATTATTTAAACAGGGAGGATCACTGAGAGTAAGCTCTCTTACAAGGACGCCCTGATTAAGAGATCATATAAAACAATAAAAGCATAAAAAAGTATTCAGCAAAGTATTCAACAAACAGGCCAAGGACATCCACGTAAAGGACAACAATGCATATTTAATGCTTTATTGTTCTGCAGCCCCCTAAGCCTACCCAACCCAATAAATGCCTGGATGTCAGACAGTAAACACTGCTGTTATAAACATGGTGTAGACAATACCACTGCCACCACCAGAGGGATTAATTGCAGGGATTTAGAATTAATAGCACTATTTACTTGGGTCACATGGCCATATGTCTGCTGACCTGTTTGTGTATGAACTGCTAGTTTTTGAGGTTTGTTTTCTTTGCTGCGATTGGCCCTTTCTGTGCATGCCCAGAGGGATGAGATTGGTCAGCTGTAAAGGGTCTCATACCTAGATACAGTGTGTGTGTGTGTGTGTGTGTGCTCAAGGAAGCATGGGGTGAATCTGTAGGGGGCGAGTTTAGATCATTCTCCATTATGCCATCTGTTTCCAGTGAATTATGTAGACAAAGATAATTATTATGATCATGCTACCAAAACAGTGCAGACATGTTGAGTGCCCTTACAAGTGTACACACAGCAACAGAAATGTGTAAAAGGAGAGAAATAGGTTTGAACCGCAAATAATTTAAACAGGAAGGATCACTGAGAGTAAGATTTTGTCTTATTTGATTCATACATAAATACATCATCTCAAAAGATCTTATATCATAAAAAGAAAAAAAAAAGACTGACTTATATTTCCTCAAAATAACAACAATGACCAATAAACCAACAAACCACACAATGGCATCCCTGGGATTAAAGCAGCATTAACACTCTGATTCGCTGGTTTCCTTTGTTTTATAAACGGGATCAGGAAAAATGAACAGCAGGGCTAAAGAAACTGGTTTCACTTGTCAGATCAATGACACGAGTGATTTGTTGCTATGGATAGATGGTCTTAAGAGAGGGTAACCGAGAAAGAAGTAGTGACAGAGACGAGGCAGATGGAGTCCGTCTTAAAGGAAAAGTGATAAGATAAAGGAAAAGAAGTGAAAAACTCATCAGGGTTACAGTATACACTGTACCGGTGCAATCATGGCAAGAACAGATAATCGTCTGCTCTCATCACTGCTATGAAATGCAGCACGTGGGGTCCTAGATAACAGCAGTTAAACCTGTATGTCCTTTATTATTAAGCATCAACTACATTCTTGTTTTGTGAGGCACTACATTCAAGAAAAAGATTAAGGGAGTTGTGAAAATTTGCAGCTTGAATATCCATTGCTAAAGTGACATCACCACCACACTGACATCTGTTTACTTGATGAGCTGGGTGTTTCGTGGGTGGCAATGTGTTAGTATCATCAACACAGCGGCTTGTCTCTGCAAGCTGGTTTGACATGGAATTTTTGCAGCTTATGCATTGTTTACCTCATTATCTACTAGATCTTTCTACGCTTGTTCAGCACCACATAATTAGCTGTTATGCTGCCTTCAATTACAGTCAGAAATACTGCAAATTACACGAGCATTACAGATGCCTTAATGACCTACAGAATGTAAATACAAATAGAAAGTTTAGTTATATGAGACAAATTTGTAGGCATTCTCGCTTTCACAAAACAGATTTTATTTTTTTCATTAATGTTTCTGATTTATGAATTTATTTCCAATTATGATTGTGGTTATTTCCCATACTCTCCTCTAATTCAAATCAGTGTGAGTTAAAGAATATGGCCCTCATCAGAGACTTTAAAAGCCCTAAAAACATGTTTTCTCAATCAGGTTCTTACCATGAGCGATGTTGTCCAACATGAGCACAACATTGTCTACCTAACTATTTTGGTTATTTCACATTAGGGATTAGCACATTTGTGTTTTTGTCTGTGCTGGTCTCACTGGTTTGAAGTGGGTGGGGTTTGGTCTGCTCATGTTGCCAGAAACTGCCAATCATATCTGATCAAACACGTCTACACAGTCCTATTGAAGCAGATTGGCTTGTGTTTTTACACCCTTGAATAAAACCATTAAATAATAAGATGTTATTTTCCCCCTAAACTGAGTAATGAACATTTAATACTTTATAAAAATCCTTACTTTAAGATCTGAAACCAAATTTTAAGGGTCTTTAATACTAGATCCATCCTGTATTGTTGTTGCTTCTTAAACCAGCCTGTTTAATCTAGACACATATATGACCTCTGCGCTGATGTTTGCTGGCCAATGCTCTGGGTCCTGTGCAAGTGCGCGCACACACACACACACACACACACACACACACACACACACACACACACACACACACACACACACACACAAAACTCATTAGTGCACAAATTAATCCAACTAAATCAGTCAGAAGCAAAGAGACCGCCTGTCCTCAAAATCAATCAGTTCCTCGATCTGCTTATTCCTCCGCAGCCCACCCCCAGCCTTAGTTGATCTTCCATGAAGAGCTGGGAACGTTAATCAGCAGAGGATAAGCGTCCCAAAGTGGAAACGTCTGACATCCATTCCCTTCAAATCTTGTACACATTTAGGTCAAGCAAACCCTCTCTTCAGTTCAGCAGGTAAATACTCAGAGTGTATATTCTTTTCATGGTGTGGGTTTTATCCTGACTGTGTTGGGAGAATCTGGACATTCCTCTCCCTTGGGAGCCAATTACAGACAGTTTGGGGTGGATTTCATCATACACAGTCAAACACACACTGAATGGAACCCCAGGCTTAACCAAAACCTACTGACTTAACCCTGTACCTCGTGACTAGCCTTCCCTTCCCGCACAAGCAAATAAAACAATCAAACACAAAAATGAGTAGGGGGATGAGGAGTTTGGATTAAACCTTAACCTTATACAAGAGGGTTGAATAAGTAGCCTAAAGTTCCCTGTTTGCGACCAGCATGTTCCCATCCTTTGTCTGTTTGTCTGTCTGTCTGTCAGTGTGGAAGTCTGGGAGTTTATACCTACAGGCCAAAATCTCCTTCCTCCACCTCCTCCATCAGAGGAATTGCCAAACAGCTGGTTACCATGGTTGCCGTTTTCTGTGCACCAATGTGTAGCCATTTTACTGGGGGTCCAGAGGGAGGGAAAGCCTGCACAGTCTGGCAAATAGCAGCGATATGAGCGGATATTAGCATACATTCAAACAGGAACAGTAAATCCTTGCTCAAATATCACTGGGTTAGCTGAAATGATGGTGGTCTGATTTAGTTTTCTCTCACGTCTCATTTAGCCTAATTGATTTGCTTCTTTGTTAAAAGGTAACTGTGAGGTGAAACGCCCTTTATACTTCAATGCACTGTTATTCATGTTATTCAATGACATTTCTGTCAAACACCAGATTTTGATGTCTGGTGAATTGATTCATTTAGTAATGTGACATAATGCATAAAGCAACACATCAAAGCTACTGTTACTGTTAAGGCATTAAACAATACTGAATACACTTTAATAGCTCTGCAATGAGCTGAATCTTGTGACTGAAACATCTTATTGATGTATCAATGAAACCTACAGAGCCTCCACAAAGTGATTGAGTGTTGTTTTGATGAGTCAAACATTATTATGTAATAGGAGGGCTCCCTCTGTTGGTCATATGGTTGTAATACATTCAACATTAATAACGTGATTTTTTGGGTTGTAAAAACCCTTTGGCTACTATGATCACTGTCCAGTGAAAACCATGTATCTCCAAATTTGTTGATTTTTAAATTTTCATACAAACTGAAAGATTAAGTGTTCCTTTTTGGGTTTAAAAAATACTCCTACTCGTTAATCTAAATAATGCTTTACTTACCATTAGACTACCAGAAAAATGCATTATCACAAAGCTAAAAACAGGGCTGTTTTTTTGGGAGATACATGAATTTCACAGGACAGCTACAACTTTATCATACACAGGGCTATTAATATGTTTACAAACATCACAATAGCTCATATTTGTCAGGGTAAAGCTGTAACAAGGCACAATTTTATCTTTTGTACTGGGAAATGAGACAATAACATGTTAAAACCCCTGGGCAAAAAGAATTATTGCGATATAGTTTTCCTCAATATAAAAAATGTTCAGCAAACTAATTAATTAATTTGAATCACGAATGAACCAGCTCTTAATTTTACTATTTTGAAATGTATTTGATTTTGATTTGATTTGATTTTTGAGGAAAGGATAGAAAAAAGGATTCGACTTAATTTTAATCATGCATATTTGTCGAAAAAAGATTTGATCATGATTGTTTAGAATTGTTCTACCTCAGATTTATTAAGCGATCCACTGTTTTGGCATGTGTGTGTCATGTTGTGGCAATAAAGAATAGTTTAAAACTGAAATTGACCATCTGGTTACTTTAACTTTCACTCAAGAGCAAAAATCTGCCTTTAAACTTGAAAGAAAATGATTTGACATTTATCGTGATAATTAGAGATTGTGGTAACATTTTTGGCATTGACAGCTCTCTCACTCATGTTCACATTGTTGCACCTGGTACAACGCTGGTAGTCCTTTTTCATGGAAGATGTTTTGAAAGATCACAGTAACTTTTCGCTGTGACACTGTCATGCTTTACTCTGACACTTCCAGGTATGAAGCCATCGTTACTGTTTTTAGTGACAACTGGGCTTTTCCTGCTATGACAAGTCAAAATGTTTTCTGTGAAAAAGGCGTTGGAGTTTGGTGACTTGGTTATTTTTAGCTAGAGTTATTGAAAAACACCTGGTGGGTGTGCAGGGCCTTTAAGTAAACTACGATATGTTCACATTTAAATTTCTGGCAATCTTGATACTTCCCTTTAATCCCTAGAACCTATTAGAGGTATATTTTTGAGGCCTTTCTTGAATATCTTGTCGGCCCCCCGAGATTGGCTTAAATATAATAAATGTTTGTTTATTTGTTTGTTTTATACTGATAAATTATCCATTTACGTTTGTATTAGGCTAAGTACCGAATGATTTTATGTTTGATTTAGTGTGACAGAGTTGTGATTCTTTTTTGTGGCTCATTATCTATAAATCAAGGGTGTAGAATTTAGTAGGGATGGTCATGTCCCTGCCAATATACAGCGACTACTGAATTGCAATCATTTCCGTCAGTGTATTTGGTGCAGCTCTTTTTCTCTGCTAGGAGTCCAATACGTTTTTTAAGCTTTGAAAGGTTATACCCTTCCACCTCATATGCTTCAGGGTGGTTTGGTCCACTGCCTAAATTTTTCAGACCCACAGCAACTTCATATCTAAAAATCTCCCTTTAGCAGATGTTTTTATTGTCAAACGGCGACATGAAATACCCGCTCTTAACATAATTACAAAGGCTAAGTCAATAAATGTAATGTGACAGTTTTACTAAACTTGCACAGACACCAAACTATTGGTCAAAAAAACATTGTATGGTTTCACTGTTGGAATACCCACATTGCCAGCAGATGTCAGCATAATACTTTTGACAGACCTGCACATCTTGCCCCATCTTAAGCAGTTCTTTTTAAAGCAGTACAAACATCATAATTCAGACAGAAATAACCAAATTTAACACGTGTTAGCTAGGTAGGCAAGAGTACAGATTCTGCAAGGCTACAGGTCAAGCTTATTGTCTTTTCAGGTGCAGTTAGGACTCAAAATGAAGCAAATGAGTGAGAAAGACTAGCCTGTTGATGAGTGAGAGATAAGTTTATTCTGCCCGTAGTATGTAATTATAACGCACTATTACAGGTAGCAGCATATTGTAATTGTTATTAGATTAGGTGTTTGCCTGTGTCGTCCCCCACCTGTCCGTGGGAGGGTGCCCGGTCTGTCTCAGGATCACTCCAGCAGCTGATCCCTCTCAGCTGACGTCAGGAGAAATGGCGGACCAGGATGGCAGCGACGCATCTCCTCCCGAGTCCCAAGGTGAGTTCATACCGACGGAAAAGTTCATTCAAACTTTGTAGAACACGAACTGTTATCTAAGCAGTTAGGTACAAATTAGCGGAGGGGCTTCAGTTGATTTTGTCGGTGTTTGAACGCTGAATTACAGACAGACTCAAGTAAATTAGTACTCGTTGCCCGGTCAGTCACGGGAGTGGGATTATCTATCTACCAACTCACCCAACCGGTTGCCTTAGGTTTATTAAACACGACATGTTCTATAAACTACACTTTGTTTTCAGTTTTACCCTTTGTTGAGAGACTTTTTGAGCTCCCCCCAGCGCTGGCTGACACCTGTTGCTGACATTTTGTCAACTCGTCGAAATGAGTTCAGTTGACGTGACAGGTGAATTAATGGAAATGAACAGAGGGTTGTTGTTCATGGGATGGCAGACGCTAACGTTAGCTAAGCTTCACATGTCTTTAGGCTAAAGTTACAACTTTGCTCCGTGACTTTTAAAAACATTTTTTATTCGGTCTACAGTTTAGGCTGGCTTGTCAATATCCCAAAACGTTTCTTTAACATCAGATAAAAGGACACATGTGACCCCAAACTGTGAATATATATTCTCGTCGTTTGCCAGTACTTAAAATGACCACTCATAGCTTCACTAACGTTAACTTACAGCACGCTTTTTAAGCTACTGTTCTGTTACACTTTTGTCAAGTAGTATGTCATGTTAATGTCAATACGGGACAACCTACAAGCAAAATAAAATGGTGTGTGGTGTGTTTGACAGCGTGTGAGCTGCTGTCAGTCTAGTTAATCATTTGCTTCTGTTCAGGGCAAAGCACCAAAGCAATAGCCACTTATCGCCAGTGATGTCGCCAAAATCAAAGAAACAAGAGTCTATCGTGGATGAACCTTTTTTTTTTTGTAATTCAGTGCTCAATCACCGAGGAAAGGAAATGATGAAAGAAGATGAAACGCTAAAGTGTTGACAGTGCCAACGTTTGTTGCTTTAGTAAATAACTTCACAAACTGGACATCAGATGCTCTGTTTTGATTTGAATTGTACAAATCGCATATTTAAATTACTGAAGAAATGTGTTTAGATTTTGAAGGCTCATCACATTTTTTTTTTTTTTACATTCTTATTTCCCCTGTGGAAACAGTGACATTTGATTGTCAGAATGTGAGTTAAACCCTAATATAGTATGACATGTTTGGTTTGTCTAATTAGGATATGTTAGTTGTAAAGTTTAAGAGGTTAAGAATGTATGCATTTGGCCAGGGAGTGTTTTACAGACAGGTGCGTATGCCGGGTTCATGAAGTGAGATTTCTAACAGAATATGGCGTGACATACAGTTATTTTAGTGCTAGCATTACAAAGTTCAGATGTTAATGATGTGTTAATCTGCGAATTGTTGCACCAAGTGCTGAAAAACAATACTGCTCTGTACAAGACAGCGATGCAAGAAACATCCCCAACAACCCTAAGACAGATGGTACAGGTTCACTTGGTGTGTGTTACTGAGTTTATTCAGTGTGATTGATCTTTTATTGTTTACTCAACTGAGTTAGGTCCACAACACCTCCACAGGACTCGTGCCACATTGATATATATATATATATATATATATATATATATATATATATATACAATCTCGGTATATCACCTATGCCACTGCAGATACTCTATGAGCTCACAATTAAGACTCAACATGGTAACATTACCACAGCAGCTGTGTTCCCTGGTCACTATTTTTTCCCTATCTACCCATTTTCATCTTCTTTCAGTTCAGTAACTTAGAATTCATGAACAACTTCCTTCCACATACATTATTTATCTTCTATTCCCATGCTGCTGTGAGCTTTAAGATACACAATCCACATGCACCATTGTGCCTTTGACCACGACAGTGAAGCTGGCTTTAATGTTGTGATCACTGTTCTATGGGGTTATTAACTGTTTTCTCAAATGTGCCATTTTCCAATCTGTGGCATCCAATAGTTGCCCTACAAAATGCCTGCACAAATGCTTCTATATATTTGTCACTCTGGCAAAACCAGTTTTAATATCTCTTTCTGGATCAGATGACAAATATTTTTTATTTTTTACTGGTTAGAGACACGTCAGAGCTTGGTCACTTACTAAGTTTGAGAGTATTGCAGTTTATCACCATACTCTTCCCTTCAAGCAGGGTCTGTTGCTTTATTTATTTTTAATCAGTTTATTATATGGCCTTCGTTTGCATGATAGACAGCTTTTACATATCTTATTGTTTCATCCTGCCAAGGTATTTGGCGTACAGCCATCTTTCTTTTTTTTCCACCGAGTCGCCTAAGGTCTTGAGATTTGCTTTGTTCCAAGCACTGATACTCTCTGCTCGTTGTTACACCTTACTGTCCACACACTCCCAGAATGGCGAGAAAGACCGTCCTCTTCCCTGCAGCCCCTCTTCACCTGCAGTGCCATCATGATATTATTTTCTAATCTGGATTGTCCCCTCTGTTTGGTCGTCTTATCCACATCGTGTGGGTTGTAGGATTTTCTTGTGTGGAGGCATCTCTGTGGACATCAGTAGTAAACTTTAGAATCAAATTATGATGATGTGTTCATTTTCTTGACGTCATCAAAATAAGCAAGGCCTATTTGTAATACAACTATTGCAGTTTTACACTGTGAAAACCTCATGTCAGTGTAAGAAACACAGACAAGAATTAGCTTATTGGTATATCTTGCAAAAATATTGCTGTTTACATTTACAAGTGAAAATAACACAACACTAAGCTTATATACTTGGCTTTATCTGTTTATCCAATGATGAAAGTATTAAATCTCTTCCTGTCTTCCATCTGTCTTTGTTATACACATATTCAATAGGTGTGACAAAGGTGTGTAGCCTAGCCTATCCGGTTTAAGTCTTAGTGTAGGATTACAGCATTACTCTATCCTGCAGGGACAAAGATCAGATTTCTCTTTCATGAATATCTGTGTTTGGACAGCATGTGCTCCCAAAGGTGATGAGGCAGCAGGTCTTGTCCCGAATTCCTGTAAATTGTTTGTGTTCTATTGTAAATACTCTGCACTGAAATAGTCTATATTAGGCTTTTTCTTTTGCAAAGGTTGACCTAAATGTAAGGCCAACTACAGGATGAAGTGGTTGAGTCTTCAATCATTTTCTGGCCTAGCTCTTTTGAGCCACAGCGTCTTGGCGGCATGAAGATTTCAAACTGTCAAGCTGGTTGTTTAATCTATGTGTGTAATTTGATTTGGTGCAAGATTAGCGTGTGCATGCACTGTTATTGGACAGGCCTCCAATAATGTACCCTGTTATAACTTTACAGCCCCCATTATGTCTACCTCCCTTCCATCTGACCAACCCTACTGTCTGTGTCAGTGTATGTGCACATGCAGTGTCTGTGAAATGAAAGTGATGCACAACTTAGGATCTGTTATCTGTTACTGCGGTGCAACTGCAATAATACTTCTCAGATATAAATATTGATGCACTGCATATTGTTACTTCTGTGTACTTTGAATTTAAAGAGCAAGTAACAAATATTTCCATATCTACTGTAAAGCTGTGGTGTGTGAAATAGCCAATGGCTCTTTAAGTGGAGAATGGGGCGGAGCCATATACCATGTGCTCTCTGAACACACTGCTTCCACAGAGCCAGCTCCAGTGCTGCATTGTTTGGTTTAGTGTGAGTGCATAGGCGTGTGTGTGTGTGTGTGTGTGTGTACGTTGCATTAAAGTGTGCCTGTCCTCTGCTCTCTCGCTTCCACTCTTCCACTGCGTCATTGGTCCATGTGCTGTTGTTGTCAAGGAAACCCTTTACCGGTACCGGCTCACCTTCCACCGCTGGATTTGCACTGAATATTTTAATGGCCCCGTGGGCCTCTATTATCTGTGTGTGTGTGTGTGTGTGTGTGTGTGTGTGTACTGTACTGTACAGCCAGTGCCTGTGTGATGTGATTCTTCTGACAAGTTTGAATTTACAGAATAGGCCCAGCATGAGAGAGGTGAGGAGGGAAAAGGGGGGGTGCTGCAGAAACAGTACTGACAACAGCAGCACTATCTCTTGAGAAGTGAAGGAGTTGAGAAGTGCAATTTTTTCCAGCTCTCAACAGAGCCAGTCTTGTGGATTAAGTTTTCTTTTCTAAGCCAGACTACGAGAGCTCATCCTGAGACTCTGTCGCACACTCAGTCTCTTTCAGTCTCTGTCTCTGAGCCTAGCACTGCCATCATAGGCAGTATGGACTTGTCACAGTGAGCAGGTCTGTTTCTCTCTCTTTCACACTTTTCTCTCATCATCTCTCTGCACTTCATTCTTTACTCTTCTACCACATTTAATTATTTGTTGCATCTCTCCTGCCATTTTTATCCTGTCCTTCTCTCTTCCCCTCTCTCTTCTTTCGGCTTTTTGACACAGAGCAGCAGTGTGCAGCCAGAGAATTTAGCTGTTAGCTTTACCTGTTAGCTATCTACATCTTCACTAAGAAAAAAGGCTTTTAGGGGTGACCCCCTCCACCGCCACCCTCTGGCGTCCACCACTGACCTGCCCCCACCCTCCCCCACATCAACCACTGCAGGGTGGGATGGGCAGGGGTTGGGTGAGTTAGCCAGGGGCTCGATGGTTAGCAACAGGGCAGGCGATGCCAGAGAGTAAAGGACGAGAACGAGGAGGTGGAGGAGGTGGGTGCTCGCGGGGCAAACGGAAGCTGAGGAAGGGAGGCAGCCGTTCAGCCATCCCGGCACTCTTCACCATCACTGAGGAAGAGGAGGGACAGAGACGGAGAGATGCTTGCAGGAGGAAGAAACGAGGTATGGTGGGAAAGGATAGAGGGAAACAGATGGGTGTAAAGTGGAGAGCACAATAAATGTGCGTGCTCTGGTACTTTATACTGTTAGAGCTTCATTTAAACTATTAAATTGTATGTGTGTGTCTGTCTGTGTGTGAGTGAGGGCATTAATATCTGGGACAGAGAGGCAAGTGGGGCAGAGAGTTATTTAACCAGTCTCTGGAGAGCCA